TTCCTGTCCTGAAGAGATTTTGATGATTAAATGAGTACAGCCAGCCCAAGTGTGAAAAAGAAGCATTGTTACCCTTGTAAGAACTAAGCAAGCTTTCTCTCCCATCTGTTTCTAGCACACATAAAATAAATTGATTCTTTTATGAGGATCAGTATACTACACTGCATTTTCATGGGCAGAGTGTCTTGATGATAATGAATTTATCTGAAGACAAAGTTTTTAAGAGTGAAATAAAGGGCTTGCAAGAATAAGAAGCTACTGCCTTGCAGAGCTAAAGAATGAAAAATCCCCACTCCCCATATACACTCAACAAATCCCAACTTACCATATAGAGAGCAAGTAGAATTAAATTTGACATGAAAATCATAGGAAAAAAATATCACATGATAATTTATTGAGTGAGAAAGATTCTTTTTCATTCCATTTTACAATTGATTGTGCTGAGAGCTGTTTTAGGAGAATGTGCAGCACTTGGAAGTGGTACCCCATGCAGTCACTCAGCAGCATTTTCTCTAAAAGCGCATGCACAGGCTCAGACAATTACAAATGGTTTCTGTTACAGTCACAATGAATTTCCACACACAATACTGTGAAAGCACTTGGGCTTTGAACAAGTTGTCAAGGTTGATACATGCATATTTGTAATTATTTCCTTGAGAAGACAACAATTTAGAATAGGAAAATATATAAGCAGCATTCATGTAATACAGAATTCCTGAGAAGTGTGTGTGTGCTATATAAATCTTTGAGAAATAATTTGTATTCATATGAAAACCATGATATAAAACATTTCTCTCAACTAAAGCAGAGTTGGTCTATAACTAACATACTGGCAGGATTGTCAACATGTCAACCATGATGAAGGCATATGCTAGATTTTTACTGCATTGTTTCACAAAGGGAAAACTCCAGATACTTTTTCATTGTTTCTCTAATTTTCCATCATTTTAAAAAAGATCAGAAAAGGCATTTTTTAAATCAATGAGTTATATTTACTAGAGGCCCTTCATGAATTGGTGCAAAGGTGAGATCTGGCCAGCCTGGCCCCAATCTGGGCAGATCAGGGCAGGGCCTGTTGAGAGGAAGAGATGGCAGGAGGTTGGCCAGCCAGCCTGCCCTCATTGGGGTCCAATCAGGGCCTGGTCAGTTTGGGGGAGGGGCTGTGGTGATTGGCTTGAGGGCCCCATCACCAATTGGTGTGTGTGTGTGGGGGGCTGATTGAGAGCAGAGGTGGCTGGGGAGGGGCGGCAGGCTGATCAGGTTGGTGGGAGCTGATCCAGGATGGGGCTGGCTATGGGGAGGGGCAGTGAGCAGTGGGCCAGCCAATCCACCTCTGAATGGGATGGGGGAGCTGATTGGAAGCCAGTGGCCTGGGGGAGGGGCCATGGGTGGTTGGCAGGCTGGCTGTGCCCCTGATAAGAGTGGAGGGGGGGGGGCGATAGGGGGCCGAGCTAGCTGGAGGGAGAGAGCACAGACCAATCAGGGTGGTGGGGTCCCCTTAGGGGTGGGGCCAGCTGGGGAGAGGGGCTGAAGGCAGTTGGACAGCTGGCCCTGCCCCTGATGGGGTGAGGGGGCTGATCTGAGGTAGGGCTGGGTGGGGGGAGGGGCTGCAGGAGGTTGGTTGGCTGGCCTGCCTTGACCAGGGCCCAATCAAGACCTGGCAGACAGTGGGAATGGGCTGTGGGTGATTGGCTGGCAGGCCCCACTCCCAATTGGTGTGTGGAGGCCTGGGAGATTGATTGGGAGTGGAGTTGGCTGGGGGAGGAGCCACAGGCTGATGAGGGTGGTGGGGACTGATGGGAATGGAACTGGATATGGGGAGGGGCTGGGGGCAGTGGGCCTGCCAGTCTTCCCCGGAATGAGGTGGGGGGAGCTGATCAGGGCCCAGAGGCCTAGGGGAGGGGCCATGGATGGTTGGCCCTGCCCCTGATCAGAGTGTGTGTGTGTGTGTGTGTGTGGGGGGGGGGCGCCTGATTGTGGGTGGAGCTGACTGGAGAGAGGGACCACAGAATGATAGGTGTGGTGGGGACCCATAGGGGATGGGATGGGGCTGGATGGGAGGGACCAAGGCAGTTGACCAGTTGTCCCTGCCTCTAATAGGGTAGAGGGGCCATCTGAGGTGGGGACAGGTGGGGGGAAGGGCTGCAGAGGTTGGAAATTGTCTCTACCCCCTATTGGGATCGGGGGTGGGGTCGATCAAGGGCAGGGTCAGCCAGGGTGAGGGGCTGTGGGATGATTGGTGTAGTGTGGGCCCATTGAGGGTGGGGCCAGCTGGGGGAAGGACAAGGAGAGTTGGCCAGCCATCCCACCCTCAATCAGGATAGGAAAGTCTGATCAGGGGCAGGGCTGGTTAGGGGGAAGGGCCATAAAAGGTTGGCCAGTTGGCCCCATCCTCTGATCAGGCCAGTTCTTTGGCTATAGTGGGCATCATGGCAACCAGTTGTTCTGGTCATTCTGGTGTACTGGTTACTTTTTTATTTTTATATATATAGATACCTTTTTATCTCTCATATTTTCTCTCTAGCCAATCAATGTGATTTAAAACTTTTATGGTGTTTATATAAAAACTAGAGGCCCAGTGCATAAAAATTGTGCACAGGTGTGGTCCCTATGCCTGGCCAATGATCAGGTTCCCCCTGGCTTCTCACCTCTCACTCTCCTTCCCTGGATGCCCACATCCACTGCCACCCATCCCTGGTTCCCCATCCCAGCCCAGGGACCTCCCCCCAATCAGGTGATCAGGGCCTGCAGGCTGAGGGCAGCTCCTGCATTGAGCATCTGCCCCATGGTGGTCAGTATGTGTTATAGAGACCAGTCATTCCATCGTAACAATTGCTTAGGTATATATATATATATATATATATATATATATATATATATATATATCCCAGAAAGAGGAGAATTCTTAATGGCATGGCTATTAATATTCTTTGCTCTACTATAAAATAAATGTCTTGTCATGTATCACTAACTTGGAAAAGACAATTATGTCCTTAACAAGCATAGAAAGTATTTTTCCTCAGGCATGTGTATACATTTAACTAAGAAAGAAGAGGAAATGCAGATGCTATGACAATGGAGGAGTTTAAAACTCCTTTGTGTAGTTGTGGAGCTATGCTGCTAACCAGGCGGCAGATACAGAACATCTGTGGAATCTGAATGGAAGAGTACCATGTGGCCAAGGATATGTGAAGGACATTTAGAATCTGAGGCACTTTCTCTTGCTCCAAATCAGAAGAGAAGTAAAGAAATGAACATTTTTGTCAAAAACCAACCAACCAACCAACCAGCAACTATTATTTATCAGCTTTTCCCCAGAGGAAAGAAGAAAACATCATTTTTTATAGTGTTAGAAAATTATAAAAATAGTTGCCTAGTAAGAGAAACTTAATAATTTTCTTACTAGAGAAAACCTAGCATATATACAATATAGCTTTATTTCCATTGTGCTTAATTTGGCCTTTAGGACTTTTGGAAAATATTGTGTTCTGTTTAATTGGACAAAAATTAATTGGACAAATAATAATAATAATCACGTTTATGTATAAATGAGTATGTATTATTCCTCACCTCATTCCCAGGCAAGTAAAACTGAGATTAGATTTGACTGATTTGCAAGAAAAAGTATCTTGAATTCTACCATGCATTTCCTTAATTCAACTCTTCTTTTTCTTCTCTCCCTACCCCCATAGCTTATACCTTCACCAGAAATTCCAACTTCATCCATATGTGAGCAGTCACACTCACTGATACGGAGTTGACATTGAAAAAGCAACTCTGTCACAATTAATTTGCCTTTGTTTCTAGAGTTTTCAAAAATAAACCAAATCAATCTATCAAAGAAATATCAGAAAACTTCCTTTAGTAATGAAAAGAGAGTAAAACTCAAAAATATGTGTGCCATTTTTACAAATAATATAAATTTATATTCATGCATTGTTTTCATTAGCTCGTGAGCAAGAGTGCATATTGTTGGAAAAGCATAGAGTTGCAAAGCATCTGGCTTCTGTTTTCCTGAATAACAAGTCACAATGGTGTACGATGAAACTGGTCTCAGAGCTGCATAAACTAACCCTGCATTACATATTGTCAAGGTGCAAAGGTACAAGGAAAACCAAAATATTTACAGCATTTCCAATTATTCTGTGAAAGTTGATGTAATAAGTCAGAAAGGGGAAATTAAATATACAATAAAATAACCTTCCATGGTTAAATATGAATTAGTATTATTCTAAAAGATATGAGAATAAACATCCATATTTATATGTATGTGGCTCTTTGGGCATTTTGTAAAAAAGAAATCTAGTGCAACTGGTTTTGCCAGTGATAGGACAGATTTGAATAGAATGTTATTTCAATGAATGGTATTCTTTTTAGAATTTCAGATTTTTCGTTCAACAATCAAAGATGATGAGCAACTCCTCAACTGCATAGTCAATGTAGAGCAGCATAAACTTCCTGTGGCCCAGATCCATAATCTCAGCAAGAAATAGGGGGCATTCTTGTGAGCCTGTAAACTGAAGGGACATGGACTTCTGGCAGCAAAGGCAACAAATGATTTTAGTCATTTCTTAGGAGTATCTCAACTCAAGCTAAGGTTCCAATATCAGATTAGCATGTGAGCAAAAGCCACACAATACTTTAAGTCATGCTTGGCTTGTGAGCATTTACATAGAAATCTGTCTCTGGAAACCTCACCATCACCCTTTTGGATTACGCTGGTGGAAGATGGAGGTCTCCAAACACACAATTCCCTGAGGCTTCTTCTGAGAATTAGATCCTGGCTTCCTACAGTGTCAACCTAATCATTGTTAATGTCCTGAGTCATCTTTTTAATTTCCCTGGAAGCTTGGATATTCTTAATCCAAGAGATGGCTCCGATGCATTTCCAATCATGATATTAGAAACCCGTTTTGGCAGGAATGCTTTCTTCCTAGCTCCCCCGTCAGTTGCTATCATTCCCACTGGTGGCATTGCCCCCACTTGGCAATAGGTATCTACTAAGGCCATTCATGGTGAACAGGGTGACCACTTTTTCTCCGCTGTTGCTGCAAATGCTCTAGCTCAGCTTCATACATCATTTCTTGGACTAAGTACTTTTCCCGTCGTATTCGGTCATAAAGGTTCTTCGGTACATCTGGAATCAGGTATGCGATGAATGACTTGATGCCGAACACAAGGTGCTGTAAATTGAAGGAGTAAAAGTACAATTTCAGAGGTTCTGAAATCCCAACGATAAATCAGAAAAATCATGAGCAATGTTGCATTTGCCTTACAATCAACCATCAAAACTCATGTATCATTTAGAATATTAATATTTTAAAAATTACATTGGGAATACTACTGTTGCCTTATATCTCATAGATACTAAAAGGAAACCAATTTATTTTCCCTTTTCACTGCCACGTGTTGATATTACCTTTTAAACATTGTATGAATCTTAAATTCTTTTATATAAAATATGTACACACAATGCAATGCTATTATGATATGCATTGTCATACATAGATGAAAAAGATCACATCCAGGGAAAACCCATGTCCCATGGATGGCAATCCACAGCCTACAGAATGAGAGAATACAGTCTGCCTGTGATGCTGGGATTAGGCTCAAACTTGAGCATTTGCATTTTTTAGAGCTTTTACTCTCCTAACTTCTATGTCATTATAACAGCTTCAAAATTTTTATTTCTGTTGCACAATCATCCTATGATAAATATATATTAAAATGAAGACTGACTAAGTATTATATATAAGAATCAGGAGCAAAAATCAAAAGGCAATATGCTGTGGTTAAGAGCACAGATGTAGTTCCAGCTGGTTTGGCTCAGTGAATAGATTATCAGCCTGTGGATTGAAGGGTCCCAGGTTTGATTCTGGTCAAGGGCACATGCCCAGGTTGTGGGCTCAATCCCCAATAGGAATTTGTAGAAGGCAGCCAATCAATGATTCTCTCTCATCATTGATGTTTATATCCTTACTAGAGGCCTGGTGCACAAAATTTGTGCACAGGGTGAGGTGTGTCCCTCAGCCCAGCTTACAACCTCTCCAATCCGGGACATCCCTCTGACAATTCAGGACTGCTGGCTCCCAACCACTCACCTGACTGCCAATCTGATTGCCCCTAACCAATTCTGTTTGCCAGCCTGATCACCCCTAACCACTACCCTACCAGCCTGATTGATGCCTAGCTGCTCCCCTGATGATCTGACTGCCCTGAACTGCCATCCCCAGGAGGCCTGGTCCCCCCTTACTATCCTCCCCTGCCAGCCTGGTACCCTCAACTGCCTTCCCTTGCAGGCCTGGTCCCTCCACAACTACCCTCCCCTGCAGTGCTTGCCCCCCACCCCCCAATGTCTTCTCCTGCAGGCATGGTTGTTGCTAACTGCCATCCCCTGCAGGCCTAGTCAACCCTAACTGCCCTCCCCTGCATCCCTGGTCCCCCCCAATTGCCCTTTTCTGCAGGCCTGGTTCCCCCAAACTGCCCTCTGCAGGCCTGGTCCCCCCCCCAACTGTCCTTCTTTGCAGGCCTGGGTCCCCCCCCAAGTATCTTCCCCTGCAGGCCTGGTTGCCCCTAACTGCCATCCCCTACAAGCCCGGTTGCTTGCAACTGCCCTACCCTGCCAGCCCAATCACCCCTAAATGCTCTCCCCTGCCAGCCCAATTGTCCCTCACTGTCTTCCTCTGCTGGCCTGGACACCCCCAAATGCCCTCCCCTGCAGGCCTTGTCCCCCCCACCCCCAACTTCCCTTCCCTGCAGGCCTGGGTACCCTCCAAATATCTTCCCCTGCAGCCTGGTTGCCCCTAACTGCCATCCCCTGCAGGCCTGGTCACTCACAACTGCCCTCCCCTACAGGCCTAGTCAACCCTAACTGCCCTCCCCTACCAGCCTGAATACCCCCCAACTGCCCTCCCCTGCATCCCTTGTCCCCCTAATTGTCCTTCTCTGCAGGTCCGGTTGCCCCTAACTGCCATCCCCTGCAGGCCTGGACACTCACAACTGTGCTCCCCCACAGGCTCTGTCAACCCTAACTGCCCTCCCCTGCCATCCTGGACACCCCCAACTACTCTCCCCTACAGGCCTGGTCCCCCCCAACTGCCCTCTTCTGCCGGCCCAGTCACTCCTAACTACCCTCCCCTGCAGGCCTGGTCCCACTCAACTGCCCTCCCCTGCTGACCATCTTGTGGAGGCCATCTTATGTCCAAATGGGGGCAACCATCTTTGACCACATGGAGGTGGCCCTATTGTGTGTTGGAGTGATGGTCAATTTTCATATTACCTCTTTATTATATAGCATATCCCTTCCTCTCTCTGAAATCAATAAATATATATTTAAAAAAAAGAAAAATGTGATTTGGGGTTCAAGTCAAAAACCCTGTTAAAAAAAAGAAGTACAGATGCTGAATAAGACTATCTATGTCTAAACCGTACTCTGACACAGCTGTGCAACTTTCTTCAAATCACCTGTATTCTGTGTATCATTTCAAAAGCAGTGATAATAACAGCATATCTTAAAGGTTTGCATAAGGATTAAATGAGTATAAGTACTACTAAAATATAACATACTAGAGGCCCAGCACATGAAATCATGTGAGATCTTGATCCTCCAGGCTGTGAATCTCCAGATTCCCTTCCACCGCTGCTACAGGATCCCGGACTCTCTCCCATCAGAGTTTGCCAGCTGGCACTGTGGGACCCCAAAGTCCCACCCATCTCAGCCACTGTGGGACCCAACAATGCACCTCCTGGTGAGGTGATCGTTGGTCATTATGGCATTATGGCCAGAGGCCTTTTATAATATAGATTATTATTATAAATGTATCCTCTTTTTTTCCCATGAAGAAAAGTAGATCTTTCAGTTTCTCAGGAAAGAAAAAAAAATCTAATATTGATAGAGTTATCTCAATCTCTGGAAAAGAACTTCTTTACCTAAAGGACTTTGTGGGAAGGAAGGAATCAGGGCACTTTTAACTGAGTCCCAGGAAGCTGCATTGCACAGTGGGTCATAGTAAGTAGGGTATATTTTCCCATAGAAAAGCAGGACCTCACTATCCTTTTCTCTCTCTGATTTTGGATCCCAAAATACACATGCAGCCGAAAATGGTTTGACTCAATGGATAGAGCGTTGGCTTGCGGACTGAAAGGTCCCAGGTTCGATTCTGGTCAAAGGGCATGTACCTTGGTTGTGGGCACATCCTCAGTGGAGGGGGGGGTGCAAGAGGCAGCTGATCAATGACTCTCTCTCATCAATGTTTCTAACTCTCTATTTCTCTCCCTTCCTCTCTGTAAAAAAATCAATAAAATATGTTTAAAAAAAAACAAATCAAAATACACATGCAAAATTTGTCCATAGCCCTTAGAGAATAGATAATATATTCCGATGCTAAACTCTTCACTGTATAAATTCAGGTGCTGTTTTATACTGAAAAAAGGCAATAATTCTGTAGCTCCTCTAACATTTCTTCCTGGGACTATAATTTAATATTGTTGTGTGACTGTGATAATAAAAATATATGCATGTTTTATAAAAGTGTCTTCAGGTATAACTGACTGAATTATGTGATGTCCCTTATAAACTATCCAGGATCAACTATAATTAGAGTTGGTTGTTCAGAAAATAAGTTTTTCCATACTAATGAATTGATCTTAATTTTATCAGATGATGAAAACCAATCTTTTCTTTTTAAATTGTGTTGGTAGGAGGCTCAAAACTAAGTTTTCAGTTGAAATATGAGTAGCTTATTTTATCCCAATTTTCTGGTACCAATACCCTCTAACTCACCTTCTTATATTATTGAGCTCTTGCTGATTTGTGCTTGTTACAGTGGTTACATTATATCTGAACCTTCCACTAAAACATACTCAACTCTTTTTTTGGAAGTCAGCGAGGAACTTACTCGAAGAAGCAACTAATATATCAGTTGGAAAAGTGTCTACCTATAGCTATTTTACCAGTTTGTGACTAACCTCAAACACGATAATGAAGGCCAACCGAGCAGCGAGGATATGCCAGTACTGTAAGGTGAACTCATAAGGTTTGGAACTCCAAGGGGGACCTCTGTAGTCTCGGTACCTAAAATCCACAAAAACAAAAATACTGTGAAGAACAGAGATCAAAGTATGGAGGTCCCAAATGTTCTTGGTTTGCCAAAATTCCAAAATGACAATTTAAATGAGCTCATCAACATGTAGAGAGAAGAGATGGAATGGTGAAAGCAAGAATAAAAGTAACTGATTTATAAGTCAGTACCTGCAATAACCAGATTTTCCCAGGCCAAGCTCACTCAGGTTAAAGAAGGATAGGCTATTGTTGACATATCCCTTTAAACAACTGGGAGAAAAAGAAAGCATTCTGTGATTCAGAGATTCATAAACTTCTAGTCCATTTTCTTAATTACAAATGACAGTGTTTAATAGATATTACCATTCCTTTCATTATAGTTATAAATTCTTAGTGTCTCAGCTCTGATTCTATTACCTAACTCCCATCTATAATAATAAAAGTGTAATGTGCAATCAGACCAAACAACCGAATGACCTTCTGGATGATCTTCCAGAGGAAGCCGGGGCTGTGAGGGCCGAGGCAGCTGCTGTGGCTGCAAGGGCCAAGCCCCTTGCATAAATTTCATGCATCAGGACTGTAGTCTTATATAATAAAAGGCTAATATGCAAATCGACCAAATGGTAGAATTATTGGTTGCTATGAGGCACACTTACCACCACAGGGCATATGCTCAATGAAGGAGCTTCTCTCTGGTGGTCAGCGCACTCCCACAGTGGGAAAGCCACTTAGCCAGAAGCCGGGCTCACCTCTAGCAAGCATAGTGGCAGTGACAGAAGCCTCTCTCGCCTCCACAGCAATGCTAAGGACCCCTGCAGGGATGTCCCTGGGGAGTGGGCCTAAGCTGGCAAACGGACATCCCCCAAGGGATCTCAAACTGGGAGAGGATGCATGCTGGACTGAGGAACACCCCCTCCCCCCTCACAGTGCATGATTGTCGTGCACCAGGTCTCTAGTTACATCTATAATTGATGAGACAGACTAATATTCCCACCAATAGTTTCTATCTTATACTTTCAATTGGCTTATATTTAGTGTTTACTATGCACTAGGTATTGTGGTAATTATTTCCCATGGATGAAAATTCTATAAATATGTTTTATAAATATGCATGTAATACTATTTGGTTAATTATAATTAAGTGGCCAATCAATAAACATGTCTACTTGTGATTTATTTATTAACTCATTTAATACATATTTATTGAAAACTGCATTTTGTTGGAAAAATTCTAGATGCTTGGTATTCAACAGTGAACAAACAGGTAAAAAGCCCTATTCTGGTGTTAGATATTAAATTGTGGTCAGTGTTTTTAAATAACCTGAGTTTTCATATATGGTCTTAATCTCCATCATGTAAATTAAAGAGCTAAAGTTTATAGAGACTAAAATCTTTATCTAGGCCTGTAATTCTTTAAAAATTTTTAGTTTCAGGTATCCTTTATATTTTTAAGCATAAAATCTCAAAGACCTTTTTTCTTATGGGTATATCTACTGACTAGAGGTTTGGTGCATAAAATTTGTGTAGGGGGGTGGGGAGGGATTGTCCCTCAGCCTGGCCTGCATCCTCTTACAATCCAGGACTCTTGGGGGATGTTCAAATGCTGGTTTAGGCTAATATGAAATTGGGCCTAAACCAGCAGTCAGACATCCCTCTAACAATCTGGGACTGCTGGCTCCTAATTGCTCACCTGCCTGATTGCCCCTAATCACTCACCTGCCTGCCTGATGCTTCTAACTGCTCAATTGCCTGCCTGATCTCACCTAACCACTCTGACTCCCTGCCTGATCACCCATAATTGCTCACCTGCCTGCCTACCTGATCACTCCTACCTGCTCTTCTGTCTGCCTGATCACCCCTAACTGCTTGCCTGCCTGATCACCCCTAACCACCCTGCATGCCTACCTGATAGCCCCTAACCACTTCTGCCTTGGCCCCCCCAGCTGTGACTTTGTCTAAGTAAGGACGTCTGGAAGGTCATTCAGCTCTCCAATGTAATTAACATATTATGCTTTTATTATTATAGATTATTATAGATACTTAACACATTAGAAATTAAAACTGAGAAATTTAGAAAATATGCCTCTAATAATTAATTTAAAATAGCTACCAACTCTATTGTAAGTTAATAGAAATAATACATTTTTAATAAAAAATAGCCATGTTTTCCAAGAGGAAAAATGTAGTGAAAAAAAAGGTATTGTTTTACATGTTTACAAATTTCTTTAATGCCTATCTTATAGAAGATAGCCAGATTCTCATATCTGTTTCTGCAGTTAATCTGTTGCAATATGGTTTGTGGGTTGAAGAGTAAATAGAGAATATGTCTTCAAAAATATAAATAGTTGGGTAAAGGAGGACTATTTTAATAATATTTCAAATAATTTTAACATTTTTTTATATCACACCAAAACTCTATATCTGGTCATTTATTATAATTTAGTTTCATTGTGGAATCTAAACACATCAATGAAGTTTCCATGTCATTTATATTAAAATCCATGTCTATCTTGAACTTTTAATTAATTTTTTACCCATAAATGATTTTATAACATCTATCATGGCTCATTTGGGAAAATTTATTCCCTCAATTATATAGATCTCCCAAATGTTGATATACTCTTACTATAGAATATGAAACATCACAACTATTAATACTACCATTGATTTTTATTAGAAAAAAATCTGACTTCTGGAAAGCTTTCAAGATTACAGTGGTAGATAAAAGTTATTCAGAATTCTAACTTTCACTTCAAATTTGAACTGTATTTATTTATTTTTAAAAATGTTTTTCTTTTAAAAAATATATTTTATTGTTTTTACAGAGAGGAAGAGAGAGGGATAGAGAGTTAGATACATCGATGGGAGAGAATCATCGATCAGCTGCCTCTTGCACACCCCTATTGGGTGTACGGCAACCAAGGTACATACCCTTAACTAGAATCGAACCTGGGACCTTTTAGTCTGCAGGCTGAAGCTCTATCCACTGAGCCAAACCTGTTTCGGCGAATTTGAACTTTATTAATGGTAACAAATACTGACAATTATTTCCCTTAAAATGATAGTATAGTTGTGTGCATTTTATAAAAGAGTGTATGCTAAATACCCAAGTCTGAATAATCATAGTTTGGCTACCTTTATTTCACACTAAAAAAATTTTTGTTGAGTTTTCAGCTCCAACAAGCACAGGGTGTTTTTCTTTGAGGTAATAATCCCACTTTGATACGTAAGAGAAGTGCTTCATGCACACTTTGCATTTTGTCATATAGAATATTGAAAGGACATTTATTCCAGAGTAGAGATTTGATAAAATTAATAGTTATTAGTTTTTCACCAAAGACTTTCTAAAATTTCTCATGGCACTTTTAAAATGGTGATTATATAGTTGTGAGAAATACAATCATTACTAGTACTCCTTGGTGCCACTGCCTTGAGTTAGAAAAATGTATCCCCGGTGCTCTTACATCACCAGTGCAAATGTTAATATAGTGAGAAAAGGAAGTTATGTCTTAGTATTATTATTAAAATAATACTGGCCTCATGGAACCTGAAAAGATCTCCAGAGCCCACAATAGAACCACTCTCCCAGGGTAACAGTTGTTAGAACCCAGATTCAAATGCACATCTATCTTATTTTAAACCTGGAATTCTTAATTATAAGGCACACTGGCTTCACTCCCTTACCTATCCTAGACCTCATAATTTATCATTTCTATCGTTATCGGGACAATACCCTCCACTTCATTGCTCTTTTATCCTTTGTCACTTTGTCCTGAAAATTTACAATCTGAATGAATTTACTCCAACTTAACTGCTAAGCATAGCTGGGAAAAATTAAACAACGGGATGACCCTAAATATATGTAGTTTCAACTTTACATAAGCTCTCCACATCTCTTGAACTTATTCCACATCCTTAGTAACAGTCAAGATGAAAAAAAGGGTCAAGTGCTATCTACTTGAAAGGCAGGTCCTGAAAGTTCACAACCAATCTCATTTTCTTTGCCTCTAGGTGGCAGTAAAGACACGAGCAAATTATGCTTCTAAGAGCTGTTAAACATGTCCACACATTTTAAATCCTTAAAATCTGCTTCTAGGGCATTTAGAATTAAAATAATAATAATAATAATAATAATAATAATAATAAAACACTTTATATTTATATAGTGCTTTTCAGTATATAAAATGTTACTTAGACATCATTTCATAATCATAGGTCCAGATTGATGAATAAAAGGTAAAGTTAGAAGTTGTACTTAGGGTGTTAGACTTTAAGTTAAAATATTTTGAAAAGGCTCTGAAATATAAACTAAAATTGCATGCCTTTATTACCTTTCTTTGAAAAACTGAACTGTTTATGTTTAGTAAGGCACTGCAGGGTTCTGAGAAAACGTCATCAGTTCATCAGCAGATCTAAGGGCTGATTTTGCGCTAAATAAGGGCTCAGCCTATTGGGGCAGAGACCCAGCATCTAGATAAGACACATGCCTCCAACCACCCCTGAAGGCAGAAGGAGAAATAACTTCTATCACTACTTTGTCTCCAATCAGGACTCCCACCCTAAGGCTAATCTCTTCCTAAGTCTCTTTTATTTTTCCCCAATACCTGCATTCAAAGAGGAAAGAGCTGAACACCTTATAGCCCCTGAAGCACTTGTTCTAAACTGGTTGACTTTGTCCCCAAGGGGACATCTAGCAATGTCTATAGACGTTTTTGATTGTCACAACTTGGGGAGCAGGGAGATTGCTACTGTTAACTACTGGGTTAGAGCCAAGATTGCTGCTACACATCCTATGATACATAGGACAGCTCTCTGTAAATTACTTTTGAAAAAACTCTAGTCATAGAGCTGACAGTTCTTTCAGATTCTGTATCCCCACCAACTAGCTTTATTCCCTTCAGCAATGTCATAAACCAGAGTGGGCCTCAATTTTCCCATCCACATAGTCAAAAATTGCACTCGCTGATTTCTAAGGTCTCTTCCAGTTTTAAATTTGACTTCTAAATAGTTTAAATGACTTCTATAACACTTTAAAACAATATTTTGATGTGTGATACATTTACAAGTAAAAAACATAGAGATGCTAAAGTTATTTGCTGTAAAATAGTTGTCCTTTTTATCCCACTTGATTTCATCTAATAAACACATTATAACTGCAATGATCAAAAACATTGCCCTTAATGGTAACAGAACAAAACTTCCCAATAAGTTCCCATTTTAATTGCAAACATAAAACATATTAAAAGAATGCATAAATTTCAATCTTACTTTTCACCATATTCAAAATGACCTGCACAGGGGCCATATTTGTATTCATAGACAAAACGTGGGATGTAATCAGATGTAATAGCAATTACAAATGCATTGGTGATCACAGCCAGGATTCCAATTCCTTCAAGAATTCCATACCAGATACCTAGTAGAAGAAAGATTAAAGATAGTGAATAAAGTAAAATAAAAATAAACCCCTTCATCAATCTTATTTTGAAAAGAATGTTTTATTTATGTTGGAACCACAGCTCAGCTATTATTTAATTTATGGGTATAGTATTTCTCTGCAGATTAAACAATTATTGAATGCTTTGCCACAGAGGGAAGGTAGACTCCCATCTTGAAAGATTTGAAAATTAAAATATCATTAGGAATTGAATCTTGCCTGTAATAATGAGACATGACAGTTGCTTCAAAGGCTAATTATAACTTACTGAAGTAATACAAATAAACAAAAATCTTTAAGTTCTACATCATTGGGTAAAGTATGAAATACATGTATTTACTATGGATTTTGCCTTTATCTTTGTCCAATACCCTTTTTAAAGTAAAAATACAAAAATACCTAGTTTGGAATCAGTTTTGTTAGGGCTGGAAAAGAGCCCTATCAATAGAAACCTGCATATGGTATTAGATAAAATCTAGCTACCTCTTGTCTTTGCAATGTCAAAACCATTTAATTCCTGAGTCTTACCTATGTCAGTTGCTCTGGCTGGCAGAGGCCTCCGCCACTGGGTGACAAATTTGTATGCATCCAGCCTGATTTCAATGATGTTGTTTAACAAAGCCAAAAGAGGGGCCAGAGGAAAAGCCGCAACAAATATGGTGGTGAAACCAAATTGCAAAACTGTAAAAGGGAGAACATTAGAAAATTAGTAATGTAAACAGTGTCATTTATTGAATTCCTTCATTGTGGAATATTAAGTGATTTTCATAAATTGCCCTTAATCTTTTCAAACATCTCTTCAAGGTAAATATGTCTACACCACTTTAGAGTTGAGAAAACTAAAGCTCATATGCATTCAGTAAAATTGCTAAAGGGTAGATAACTAAACTATGTTAAAACCTGCATTAAAATTCAAATTTCAGTAGACTGAAAGTCTATGTTCTTTTCACCTTTATACCATGTAGCATGAAGAAAGAGAAAAGAAGAGGAAATCAAAGAGGCTTTGAAAAATGCTTAGCTCTAGAAGGGACCCAAAAGACCTAATCTTGCCCTCTCTTTGTATAGATGAGAAAACTGAAGGCCAGAGAAAAAGCAAATGCTCCTTTAAAATATATGCTCAAAAGCACGTTGATTTACTATAAATCTTTATTTTGGTTAACTATTATGGCTGTTAAATGTTATGAGGACAACATGTGGTAGAATTCCAAGGGTACTACTTTCATATCTTCTCTAGTTCCGTTGAGATAAAGTTGCAGATGCGCTTCAGAATGCTGGGTTAGAAAGGAGAGAGATGGCTTTCTCTCTTGAACAAAGGCTGCGTGAAATAGAAAACTAGTATCAGAAGGTCAAATAGCTCTGTAGACGGTTCTCTCCTTACCCATTTCTAAGTATTCATCCATTAGTCCGTGAATATTCATGGGCTGCAGATTCCAATCATTTTCCCACTGAGGTATAGAAGCATCTTGTATTCCCCGCCTGATTTTATGTCGTGACCACCAGTTCTGGATCAACCTACATCACAGAGCAGACAAAGGACTTTTGAGCTCTTTTTTTTTTTTTCTTTTTTTCTTTTTTTCTTTTTCCCCTCTAAGTATTTGGTGAGTAATTTATAGTATACCAGAGGCCTGGAGCACAAAATTCTTGCATGGTGGGAGGGAGGGTACCTCAGCCCAGCCCGCACCATCTCCAATTGGACATCCCTCTTGCAACCTGAGACTGCTGGCTCCTAACTGCTCAATTGCCTGTCTGTCTGCCTGACTGCCCCTAATTGTCTACCTGTCTGCCTGATTGTCCCTAACCACCTCTTTCTGCCTGCCTGATCACCCTTAACTGCTCCCCTGCAGCCTGGTTACCCCCTGCTGGCCTGGTCACTCCCCAATTGCCCTTCCCAGTTGGCCTGATTGTCTCTAACTGCCTCTGCCTTGGCCCCTACCACATGGCCTTGTTCAGAAGGAAGTCAGACTTCTGGAAGATGGCTGGTTGACCCAGACTAATTAGCATATTATCCTTTTGTTAGTATAGATCATATATGATATAATTGCTTAAATAGTAGAGAAAAGCCTTTTTCAGCAGGAGGAGATGCTCTTGGCAGACAAAAATACATAATCCTTATATCTGGACTGATAGCCATATGCACTATACTGCCAAACTGCTCATTAAAAAATCGAACCGCTTTCTTACACCTTACACCAAACAGCTATTGCTCCTTAAAACTTCTCCTCAGCCCCCACTTTAGATTCTGCCTTCACAGTTAACTCAGATCAGGTTCTGATTGGTCATTTTCTATGCTGGCCAGCATCAGAAGTTCTGCCTCTTAGGCAGCCCTTGACTCCTCACAGTTCACCCAAATTTGGTTCTGATTGGCTGGTTTCTATACCAGTCAATGTCTCCCAGCCTATCTCTAGGCCTGTTTCCAGGCCAGATCCACAGCTGCCATGGCAACAATGGATCAGGCCCTGCTTCTCTTTCTAGGCCTCTCTCTAGGACTTATCCACAGCCTCTCTCTCTCTCTCTCTCTCTCTCTCTCTCTCTCTCTCTCTCTCTCTCTCTCTCTTTCTCCAGGCCTCACCAGCTACTGATCAGGCCCTGCCTCTCTCTCAATCTGGGCCTCACCAGCAGCTGCGGTGACTGTGGATCAGTCCTGCCTCTCTCCAGGCCTCTCTCTGGGGCTGACCTGCAGCAGCCATGGTAGCAGCAAGGTCATTAGGCCTCCAGTCCAGCCCTGGGCTAGAGGCTATGACCTTGCCATGTCCATCTTGCCCCACCCACCCTCACTCTGCCCCACCCACCCAGTGGCTGTCAGCCTTGCTGTGATAGGATCCTTTGGATAGTGGGGGATGAACTCTATGCACTTCCTGATGAACTCTATGCACCGTCTGTTCAGTCATTTAAGTCGTGATGGCCCTTGGCCTTTTATAATATAGACTAGAGACCCAGTGCAGAAAATTTGTGCATGGGTGGAGTCCCTAGGCCTGACAGGTGATCAGGGCCATGCTGATCAGGGCATGAAGGCCCCAGCAGGGTCGAGAGAGGAGGTGACAGTTGCTGGGCTAGGTGCAGAAGAAACAGATGCCAGATGCCGATGCTGCCCATGGTTTCCCACCTTCCTCCTTCCTCCTTCCCTTAGTGCTGCACTGCCATTGGGGGCCTGCTGGCTGGGGGAAGGGTGGGGGAAGAGGCTGGGGGAGGTTATGATCCCCAGTTGGGAACATGCAGGAGGCAGCCAATCAATGATTATGTATCATTATTGATGTTTCTATCTCTATTTCCCTCTCCAAAATCAATAAATATATATGTATTTAAATGCAAGGGTTTTAGAGGAAGAAAGGTAGGGCAAGGGAGCTATTGACACGGGGGCATTTGAGATCTTGCTCACATTTTAAATAGGATAACATAAGATGGTCCTCAGGGGGTGACAGGTGAGAAGTGGCAGTGGGTGGAGCAGGGTACTGCATGCTGAGGAATGGGCTATAATGTCTGTGACAGTGACACCAAGCATGTTTTGGGGCCATCGCTGGGATCATTTATCCCTAAGAGGTTTTAATTCTGCATGGGAGGAGAAACACAAAGTTCAGTGGGCCTTTCTTAGCCTAGAAGGAGAGGCAAGTGGCAGGAGTGGGCTGCCCTGCTTCCCTACCAATGTAAACACACAGCGTAAGTGCACATGGATGTCAGTCAGCAGCTAAATCAATGCCCAGCCAGCCCTGGTGGCTGTGTCCTGCCACACTCTGGCTGTGCTGCAGCTCTATTGGCTGGGAAGGCTGAAGCCACACCCCCAAGCATACATAGTATATGAAGGGGCAGGCAGGAAACCTAAAGCAGGAAGTCAGAGCTGAGGAGGTCAGCCTCACTGCCTCTGCCATAGAGATGGAGGAGGAGCAGCTGTCGATCTGACTGGCATTAGAGTTGGAGCGGCTATGCTTCCTGCACATCACCAGTGAGTCCCCGTGAGCCCACAGTGTGCCAGCTGGGCCAGGTGTGGCCTGGGGAGGCCTTGCCATCCTGGAGCCATTCTTCCCAGGGTGGCGGTGGCGGCCACTTTTTTTTTTTTCTTTCAATTTATTTATTTTTCTTGGAAAGCAAGCTCTAGCCTTGCAGTTCTGGGATCCCTGGTCCATAGTGTGCACCTCCAGGCCTCACTGCACCTCCCCCCACCCCCATTCCTGTGTTGTGTCTGGTCCCTGGTGATCAGTGCACATCATAGCGACTGGTGGAATCGTCAACTGGTCATTCTGATCATCCTATCATAATGGTCACTGGGCTTTTATTATTTAGATTAGCATCAATTACCCTGAGACTACACTAAACATTCCTGGAACTAAAGATATTTGTATGGTCTCATCTTTCAAGTTTAGCATGAGAGAATAGGCCTCAGCCTTCCAGAACTCTCCAAGATCCTATAAACATCTACATATTTATCTAGGACTTGACCTCCCATACATTTAGATGCTTCATGATATTGATTAGACAAACATTTGTTTATATGACTGCTTCCCACACATCATCTATATAAATAATTAAATTCCTAGTTTGCCTGTTGTTATTGCATCTGAGCCTTTATTTCTCATAGCCCCAAATGTTCTGGGCTATGCTTTCTGAGCATGAGTAAAAGCATGGTCTGAGAGAGAGAGAGAGAGAAAGAGAGAAAGAGACGGAGACCCCTAGAGATAGTTTCAAGACATACAGTTTCTAGTCCCTATCCTTCAATCATTATGTGGTGAGTTTTATTAATAGCAAGTCACTTCACTTCTCTGAGTTTTTAAAGTGAAGTGTTTGGGCATTAGTGATCTTGTTTTGTTACTACACTGATTGATAATTTACAGACAATTGGTGTGTGTTTGAATTCATTTCTCAGATTTGTAAAGAAAGTAACAATAATCTTTCCTAAGCTCAGGGACAGTCTTGAAATTAAGTGACGCAGAAATATCCCAATATGTACATATTGTGGGCTTTTGGGTAATGAATTATTTTAAGTTAGATGAAAATGATCTCTGGGGTGAGCTAAATTTCATAGGACTTGGTAAACAGTACACAACGCTCACTTTTCATTAATTGTGGACCTAGAACTTCAGTAGGAGTTGGAAGAAACACATGTAGACCAAAACATCAGGCAATGCTTCAATATGTGCCCCATGGGCTGCCAGTGGGAGCCCATGAAGATAAAAATGGAGAAACTAGAAACAACAATCAGAAAGGATATATGCACCCCTATGTTCATAGCAGCACAATCTACAATAGCCAGAATTTGGAAACAGCCTAGGTGCCCATCAGCAGATGATTGGATCAAAAACTATGGTACATCTACACAATGGAATACTATGCTGCCATAAAAAGAAGGAATTCTCATCATTTGCAGCAACCTGGATGGAATTGGAGAACATCATGCTGAGTGAAATAAGCCAATCAATGAAAGAGAAACACCACATGACCTCACTCATTTATGGACAATAAAGAACATTATAAACTGATGAACCAAAAGATATAGAGACAGTAAAGCAACAAGCAGATTGTCAAATTACAGTGGGGAGGGGAGGAAGATCTGGGGGAGATAATATAATAGATCAACCAAAGGACTTGTATACATGCATATAAGTACAACCAATGAACATAAAACTTTGGGGAGGGAGGGTATGTAGGGGAGGGAGGGAGGGGGGCAAAAAAATCAATAAAATATATTTTAAAAAATGGAATGGAGGTTAGAATTGAGGCAGGTCTGCTTGATTCTTTTATTTATTTCAATTCTTCTTAAGATTTGACTTGGAAAAAGAGAACTGTGGATAAAAAGTTTGAAAACCATGCTTTAGTGATTGGTTTGCATTTGTGAGATTTTCTTCAACAATGTCTTTGCCCAACTGTTGGACAAACACCAATAAGATTTCCTTTGTCATGGTACCCTTGGTGCTTCATATGCATAATCCAGGTTGACAACTGGGCAAGGCCTTAGTAAAAATGTGCTGTTCAAAGTACATGGCTTATATACAGAAGTCTAGGCAATGAGTTCAACAGAATCATTCTTCATATTATAATTACTGCACCATCGTGATGGTGCTTGTAAAGTACTTACAGCATGTCATATCCTGTACCTAATTTTCTCAGGCATTTTTAAACACTATCCCCAAACAATATGTTTCAAAGAGATGACCTAAGCATAGGAAGGGATATGATGAAAAGAGTAGACTTCCCAATCCTCATCCCCTATTCTGTCTTCATTTAGAAGAGACTCATTTAAATGTGTTATAAAATTCTCTTCACAAAAGTTATGTCACTTATTGACAGTTAATGAGCAGTGGGTCATCTTAATTAATCTTTATAAATCCCTTATTTTACAAATAACATCTCAATAAGGTCAAGTAAGCTATAACTTTAGCAAGAGGCAGAGAAGGAATTTGAACAAGGTCTCAGTAATTTCATACTCTATGCTCTAGGACTGCTTGGAATTTAATACAATACTTTAGGTTTGATTTCAGGGATAATATCACCTCTCCAGAAATGTCCTGATGCCATTTGTAGACCAGCAGGGAGAAAGAATCATGGTATAATTTGATGACTAATTCTAAACTATTTTTATATCATCTATCAGCTAACCAGTTCTTCCCTCAGCTTCAGGAAATTCCTCAGGATAATCTTATTTCTAATCTTGATTTCCCCAAAGTTTACATACAAAAGTGTGTAAGATACACTGTTCCACTGTATTCTGTAGGATAATCTTTTTAGTAGATGTAAGAGTGGGGTTTCAGGATTCTTCCATGTCAGCAATTCAGACAGTTAAAACTTCCCTAAAGGAACAAAGAAAGTGGTATTGATCTGATGTTACCACAATCAATTTTGTTCTAATGATGTGTGTGTGTGTGTGTGTGTGTGTGTGTGTGTGTGTAGCAAAGAGTACAAACCTCATCCATCCATGAATTTATCTTTGTTTTACTCATTTTTTGAGGGAGGGATGTGTGGAAATGGAGTCTTTATTACACAATAACCATCTTGGTCTTTTGATAACCAAAATAAATCAAAAAGTTATTTTTATCCTCAAGAACCTGTACTATCAATAATGTTTTAAGAATAACAAGTGTTTTATTTTTATTTATTTATTTTTAAATATATTTTATTGATTTTTTTACAGAGAGGAAGAGAGAGGAATAGAAAGTTAGAAACATCGATGAGAGAGAAGCATTGATCAGCTGCCTCCTGCACACCCCCCACTGGGGAATGCCTGCAACCAAGGTAAATGTCCCTGACCGGAATCGAACCTGGGACCCTTCAGTCCGAAGACCAACACTCTATCCATGGAGCCAAACTGGTTTCGGCTAACAAGTGTTGATGTGTTGATCAGCATACAGTTACTCTATATCTATTCGTATTTCTTTAGTGCTTACAATTGTTCTTGAGGTAGCTATAGCTGTAGATCCCCTTGTGGAAATCTAGAAACTGAGGCTCAGAAAACTTTACTAACATACACACAGTCACACTTCAGAGAGAAGTTCAGCAAGAACTGAACCCCCAATTAACTGTTTAGCCCAAATTTCTAAGAATTATTCCCACCTCCTCCATCTTCTTTGTAACTATATATAAGGCAATTTTTAAAATAAAGTGCTTACGGATATCCCAATTCCATGAAGTTGTTCCATATTTGCTTCAAAAACATGATAACACCCATCTGGAGGCAGAGGTCTATCAAGCAGCCACTAGGATGACACTGAAACAGAATGAGAACAGCAATGATCTTGCTTTCCCCAGTTGTCTCGAGCATCCCCACCTTCAAATTGTAATGCAAATTCTTAGGCCAGGTCACACTAACTATCTCAAGATGAGGACACTTGATAGGGGAGTTTTTAGAATTTATATTGGAATTTTAATCAAAATTATAACAGCATTAACATCAAATATAACGTTTAATGAGCACATATTATCTGCCAAGCTCTGTGTTGGGCATGATCACCTTCAATAAATGTTCTGGAATACTACCTATCTATTCATAGGAGATAGACAAATATTTCATTCTATGGAAAATGCTTATAACATATTCTTTTTAAATAAACATTTTTATGTTAGAAAACTTTAAATTTATAGAAGATGTGTAAAGATGTCCCTAATACTATCAAGGTATATTTGTCAAAGCTAAGACACCAACATTAGTACAATGCTATTAACTAAACTCTAGACTTGATTTAAATTTTTCCATTTATATCCGATTGACCCAGGATACACAATGAATTTATTTGTCATGTCTACTCAGTCTTCTCTGATCTAGACAGTCTATGAGTTTTTATTCCTTGATACTTTTAAGGACTGCTGGACTAGTATACTGTGGAAAATCCCCCAATCTGGGTTTTTCTAATGTTTTCATATTTTGAGACTGTGGTTATATGCTTTGGGGATGAAGGTAGATCACAGAAGTAAAGTGCCATTTTCATCAAATCCCATTAGCAGCTACGTGACTTCCACATGATGTCACTAGTGGTATTTTATTAATCTTAATCGCTTGGTTGGTGTAACAGTGTTTTTTTTTTGTTGTTGTTGTTGTTTTTTTGGTATTTCTACTGTAAAGTTACTAATTTTTTCTTTTCCCTAATCTTTACTTTAGAAGTAAGTCACTAAGATCACTAAGTCTAGTCCATTCTCAAGATGAGAGACTATCTAAATATATTAGAACACATTTTTTAAGTGATAAAAGCATGCGCCCAAAATAGTTTATCAGTATGATTTTGATTTTGCCTTGTGATCCTCTGCATTGTTAGATGTTCAACAAAAGTTAGCATTAGACAAAATTGGGCACATTCAGGGTCGTACTGCCTTAACCAAACAGAGACAGATTCATGGAAATAGACTCATAGATACTGACTGGGTGAAAAAAAAAATGAATGGATTAAGCAAAAACAAAACAAAACAAAACAAACAAAAACCCAAAACATCCATAGACATAGACAACAGTAGAGTGGTTACCAGAAACAAAGGAGGGTAAGTGGAGGTAGAAAAGGGTAAAAGGAGTATAAATGGTGATGGAAGGAGATTTGACTTTGGGTGGTGAACACACAATTCAATGTACAGATGATATAGAATTGCACACTTTAAAACATATAAATGTCACCCCAATAAATTCAATAAAAATTAAAAGAAAATTCTACCTTTTAAAAAAAGTTAGCATTAGAAACCTACACAAACAAAAATGGGATTACAATAAACAGTGCAATCAATGTGTTATGCTTGACAACTATGCACTATAGAAGACATTTGGGTAGAAAAACCTATTTCCAAAGAAAATGGATTCATGTCCTGCTCATAAAGATGATAGATTCTCCAACTTTGATCCAGATTCTATTTCTATCAAATAGGTACCAGTGGGACTTCAAAGAGAACAAATAATTAGGACATGAAGAGCCTGCTTTTCCAGTTTCAGCACAGTAATTTAAAACCCCTAATCTGAGCCAGAGATAGGGTTTGCCAGTGGTCATTTTTTATTGTGTGTAAAAGTCTCAATTTTCTCAACCAAGCATGCCCTTCTTTCTAGGATGAATTTAGGACCCTCTGAATTTTGCCACATGTATATGAAAAGTGGGTAGGTAGAATGTCTGAGGGAGAATAATTACTAAACTACAGAAGCAGATCACAGATCACAGCTGCAGGCTGAAACTTCATTCTTATGGTCTCAAAGAGGCAAATTAACTTGTCCAAGGTCATGCAGTAGTGACTGGTGGTATGGGAATAAAAGCCTTAGTCTCATTGCAACCTAATTCACTGCTTTTTTATATAGTGCTAAAGGTGAGTTCTATTTACCAACTGTGTATAGTAAGTCCCAAATAAAAGTTAGCCAGTATTAACATTTTATGTAGATTTACATAAAATCTCATGTGAGATATTATATAGTTATTCATAAATATCCTAAATTGTAGTATTTTCTCTGTCTTTAAAATGGCACCCATTATTTGTGCCAGAGGCTTTACATGCATGATACAATTTAATCTACTTATCACCAGTACTACTAAAATAGCCATTAATGTCAATATTTAAAAAATAATAAACCTGAGACAGAAATAGTTAAGATTATGCATCTGGATGGGACAGAATTAGAATGTAGACTCTCAGACTTAAAAGAAAAATAATATTTATTACGTATCATGGTTATACTCTTTTCTTTGAAACTAATTACACAAAGGAAAGGAAATTCATTTGTATACTCCATATTTCAGCAGAGGCCTAGATTAGCATATGTGTAGTTGAATTCAGAGGGTTAGTTCTTATTTTCCATTATATATACTGTTTATATATCTTAATATATCTTTACTTCTAGGATTATCAAGATTTATCACAAATCCAAATTTTTCATTGCACAGATTTTCCTCCCAAAATAAATAATCCTTTGTTAAAAAATATGGCCTCTATGTCATATATATATATAGATGAAGGCCATATTTGAAGCCAAAATGTCTTGGATGGCTATAAAACATTTTTTCCTGAAACTAGTATTATATTTCTTTGGGACTTTCAAAGAAGAATAATGGCTTCTAATAATTTCACAAGGATATCTAATTAAATAGAATTATTGGTGGCAGCAAAAATACAGATCTACCTGCCTATAGCCACTCCGTTCCCCATACTACCCTTGCTAATTTCAATTGGACACCCCTGGAAAAAGTAAGCATTAGTTCCCAAATTGGATAGATGGATAGCCTTTTAGCAGATTTAGTCATTCTTCTGAGTTATGAAAGAAAACTGCAGGTTAGATTTGGGGGATTCCCTGAAGTCTGGGATTTTGAATGGCCTTAGTCTGCTATTGGCCAATAGAATAATACATGGGTAGCTATGGAGACAAAGCATTGATAAATATCAACTACAATTTATAGAGTATCTACCACAGGGGTTATGCTAATTCTGTTACATAAATTATTTCTTATCTATACTAGTAAACAGCTTTGCAACCTAAGTGTTACTATTACCAACTTACAGATAAGGAGAAAGATATTCAAAGAGGCCAAAAATGGTTTGGCTCAGTGGATAGAGCGTCAGCCTGTGGACTGAAAGGTCCCAGGTTTGATTTTGGTCAAAGGGCATATACATTGATTGTGGGCACATCCCTAGTAGGGGGTGTGCAGCTGGTCGATGATTCTCTCTCATCGGCTTTTCTAACTTTCTATCCCTCTCCCTTCCTCTCTGTGGAAAATCAATAAAATTTATTAAAAATATATATATTCAGAGAGGTTAAATGAAGGGCAAAGAATTAATAAGTAACAAAGTTAGAATGTGAGACCAGTTTTCTATAATATAAAGCATATGCTCTTAGAAAGTTTTAGGCTTTCTCAATGCAATCCCTTCTACCTTTTCTCTCCTGTCCCTCCCACAGTCATTGGCCCACATCCATGCATATCCCCACACCCACCCTTATAGGGTTACTTACTTCCTCCAGTCTCCACCGGTTAAAAAGTTTATTGTAATTTCCTGGGTGGCCTACAAATCTGTAAAAAAAAAAACATTTTAATTCATTAGCATTTATGTGGGTTGACTGAAGAACATCTAATGTATCACAAGTGCATGTGTGGGTAGACATAAAGGTTCATTGGTGCAATTTGTTCCTAAGTGGTTACTTAGGTCAAACTTACACATCAAAGTACCTGACATGAAAAGAAAAAAGTGATGTGTGAATTCAATACCAATGGGTTGAGAAAGTACAGAGAAACCAACTGAATGTATTTTCCCACTTTCACCTGTAGAATTTTAATGCCTGGTTGACTGAGTTAAAAATATTAACATAATGTGCTAAATAATATAATTTAAAATGTTTCTAGCTTCAGTATGTTTCCATGGCACTGGCTGGAGTGTTAATCATATGGCAAACCAGAACCAGTAATTTAATATAATTTCTTTCTTCTTTTTTTTTTCAGCAAAAATAGGAAAAAAAATATTAACATGATTGGTAGAAGAGGTTTCCACACTAAGGAGCTGTAACCTAGGGTTATTCAAAATTTATTTTCTTATTTAACAAAACCATTACTGATGACAGGACAGTAATAATTCAACCCATGTATATAGGTTTTATTCTTTTATGCCAACTTTAATTGGTAGTGGCACCTGGAAATACTATCCTGAAACATTTTGATTCAAACATGTGAAGACTGATTAGCCCCGTTGTCCATGCCTGGGGATCAGAAAGTGCCGCCTATGTTAATAAATTGGAAGTGGAACTGTTGAGAGTCTTTTTCACTCTATAAAGATGATATATATAAAGCTGACTTACCTCCCCAAAAAGAAAGCGATGTAGAAGATAGAACTGTTTAAATTAACAAACTGGAAGAGGAACATCTTCAGGGCAAAACTGTTTTCCCATTCAGATTCTGTTCGAGGATATTCTAAAAGGAACATAGAGTTTGTTTACACAGATGAGGTGAATGACAAGAAATGTGGACACAGAATCCGAAGCCCCATGTTTAAGTTCTGGTTCAGTCATATGCTAGTTCTGTAAGGCACTCAGTAAAATGCCTGTCAAATGTGAATGACAATATTTGCTGTACAGAGCTGATGAAATGAACCAATGAGATCATCTGCATACTTTCCCCATAGCTCCAAAAATATGATGCCTGATATTAATATCTACAGGTTTCCAGGATTCTCTGTTACTTTCATTTAGAAATAACCATAAATATTAAGTCAGTCTTTCACTGTCTAGCGAAATTGTCCATAGAGTTCTTTGAAGGATGAATATTTCCTGCACAGACTTAGTGAATTGTTAAAGAGAGAAAAGAGGGCTACATCCATCAGAAGAGCTGAGTTCTTATCTCAGCTTTACACCCAACTGCTAGTCATCTCAGGCAGGTCTCTTCATATTTTCTGCAATAAGTTTTATCATCTATGAAATAAGAAATTTACATGAGATGAATTCAAGAACCCTGTCAATTCTCACATGGCATGGATCTAGGAATCTTAAAAGGAAAGATAATGAGAGAGACTGATGAAGATGTAAGCATGAGCAGCCTCTGCTCCTTCCTGGTATACAAGTAAATGACAGAAAACATAGATAGATAGATATAGATATAGAGAAAGATATAGATATAGATATAGATATAGATATAGATATAGATATAGATATAGATATATAAAATACTGTAATAATAATTGAAGAATTCAAGAAAGGTAAAAAATTAGATTGGATCTAATTTAAGAAAAAAAAACACGCTAAAATATAGGCAAGAGTCAATCACAGAATAAAGAGGGAATAGGTCCCAGTGAACTTCAAACCCAAAGGGAGTAGGTTGCAGAAATAGAAGGGTCTATGCAGCATCCACAGAGTGACTTGTTGGTGGGCACTGTGACAGCACTCAGGAGACCTAACATTTCCTCACAGGAGTATGTACTATGGTATTCCTGGTTCTTAGCACAAATAACTGTTCTGTCTCATACTATTAATTAAATACCCCAAAACACTTCAGTAGATTTGCTGCCATCCTGGAAATAAGCTCATTAAAAGAAAATGAATATAGGTAATCAGAGCTATAAGAATGCTTTGAGACATTCCAGTGCAATTGCTTCATTACCCAGCTGAAGATACTTTAGCTCAGATAATGAAATGTTATTCCCATTTATTGAGCACTTGTCATGTATCAGGCAGCCAATCTATAACAATGATGAAATAGGATTGTTCTCATTCTCATTCTCCCAATGAGGAAATTGAGATTCAAAAAGAGGAGGTGGAACAGAGGGAAGAGAAGGAGGGGGAGTAGGAGGAGAAAGAATGGGGAAAGGAGAAAACTTACTCATAGTCACATAATGTCCTAGTGATATAATCATTTAGCTCTAGAGCATGAACTAGGGCTCAGTTGTCTCCTTTATACAATTTTCTTCTATTATCACTTGTCCTTGTAATGATATTACAGGAGAAGTAATATATTACAGTTATGTTACTCCACCATAGTTAACTGGAGTGTATCACATCTGCATTTACATTCTACTTATTTAATTGTCTTGTTTCATAATCCATAAAATAAGGGTTCTACTATCATAGATATATGGTTACAATAAAACAAAATGATGACTGAGAAGTGTTTAGTACAATGCCTGGGATCTGGTGAGTTCTCAAATAATAAAAGATAGCTCTGTAATAAAAATTCTGTCCCCACAAACTGAAGGATCAAACATCAAGCTAAAATACAGGGGGGGAAATAAATTTCTGACATACAAGGTCTCAAGAAACTTAGTTTCCAGGGAACAAGACAAGGAATAAAGCCAAGACAGATGGTGACATAGGATCCTGAAAGTAGTATCTAACTGAAAAATAAAGGTAAAGCAATTCCCAGAGTGCTGGTGAAAGCAAGAGTAGATTTTGCTGACCACAAGCCTAGAGGGTAACCAATTGAGACTGGAGTCAACAGTGGGCTCAGAAAGGTTAGCTCTAAGAAGAAAATAAAATGAGTAGAATTCTTGATATTTTTTAATATATTTAGAGAGAATTTATAGAGTTGAGGCAGAAAGTTTGGGCTAACTTAAGAAAAAATATATAAAAAATTAAGCAAATATGCTTTTTTTTTTTTTTACCATACCTTACTTAGATAGGAAAACAGAAATATAGACACAATGATGTGAACATCCATAACTAATCTAGTTAAAAATGCTGATGTGTACTTCCTTTGGAAGGAGGAGAAATAACAGTTGTGTATACAGGTGATGGATAGGGAAGTATGTGAAGACAAGACATTATGACCTAAGTTGTCTTTGTAATTGGAAGGCAATAGCTGCCTAAAGCAGAAAAATCCAAGAATGGCAGTAGAGGCAATGTCATTTAGAAATAGGGTAGAAAAAGAAACTGATAAAATTGGTAAAATGTAATCTGTTCGGCACATAAAAAATAAGAATGGATAATGTGGCAAAGGACAGGTTTTCACTATAAACCTATTTTGCCTTTAAATTGTATACATGAACAATAAACAAACAAATGTATAAATAGTATACATGCTATAAAATATTTTGAAAAAAATAATATTGGGGTGGAAAAACAAAGAACTGAAAAGGTAGAGGAGCAAACATTTTAATGTAGGAAGAACCAAATTTGCTAATTCTCTATACCTACACAATATAGTCCAATATCCAATGGCACTTATTTCACTTTTATTGACAATTATATAACTGAAGTTGATATTAAAATACTGAAGTACATAAATCAACTATAAGCTGATAGGCCTAAAGAAGTATTCTTCTAAAAAGGAGTGAAGAAAAACAGACTTACCTAAATTAGTGAGAAGATAAGCAATTTTTTCATAAGCCTGTAATAAGAGAATAATAGTTCTATTATTGTTTCCTTTAGAAAAAAAACTATTTATATAATCAAAGAGTATTCTACAAAGTATATTTTTATTAACTAAAAGCATGTTTTAGGCTAGTCTTTACATATATACATGCAATGCATGTGACATAAACGTATTGTAAATATATATATATATAGTCACAATTGATTTCTGAAATAACAAAGTTATTTTTGGTACTATTGTTATTTCCATTTTATAAATAAAGGAAATGAGACTGGGGTTTGATTACAAAATTATATGTTCTTCAGCCTGGCCTATGCCTTCTCACAATCCGGGCTGAGGGGACACCCTCCCCCCCCACAAATGCACAAATTTCATGCACTGGGCATCTAGTGTTTTATAATAGTCCAAGTAAATATAGTTGGGAAAATACATTTTTTCTATAGACTGTAGGGTATTATGTGTTTGTGGATATATGTGTTTCTATGTAAATATTACTATATAACTCTGTAATTCTACAAATTATTATTTAAATTTCAATAACCTTGCTTGTTGTCATGCAAAATTATAAGGTAGGTGTCTGGATACTTTAAAAGTTATTCACTTCTCCCTATCTGTTCTTTCAATAGAACTATTGTGATTATTCATCTTAGTTATGATTCAAACCTACTTTGTCCTAAGATCTAAAGTGTTATGTTGAGATTGAAAGATTATATTGAGTACAATAATCTCATTCTATCGCTTGTGTAGGTGCTTTGTTTTTTTTCTCTGAAGTATACACACAAGTAAATTTCAGGACAAGATTAGCTTGAATTCATGAGCACCTGATTGCAAAATATTATCTTCCCCACCCTATTTATCAAGTTAAATAATTATAGAAGAATCTCCAAAAAAATGTAAGGTTTGTCAATTAATAAATACTATCTAAGTGGTATTGTGCCTCTAGCACTAATTCGAGTGCCCCCCCCCCCCCCTGGGTTTGGAAGAACATTTTATTTAAATATCTGCCATACAGAGTATTTGCCTGGTGCCAAGCAGTGCTTTATATATAATATAATTTGCTAGTCCATATAACAATTTCATCAAATAGATCTAATGATCCCATTTTACAGAAGAGGAAACCAAGGTTTCAAATATCAATTCCTTGCCTGAGACAAAACTACTAAGTAAGTATCAAAGTCAGGATTTGCAGAATGGCTCTCTTGACCCATCTGAGCTATCTATGCCTTGTCACATAAACTATTTCAGTTTTTTGTTTTAATTCTTAGCACTTAGAGTCTGTCTACAGGCCTGGGATGGCGATGGCTGAAGCTGATGCCCCAAGGGAGCACAAAAATGTTTGGAAGAATGTTATAAATCACAAAAGATGCACATCCATTTCTGGAAATATTACTCTTGGGAAGCTCTCTGGGGCACTTTGGAACCTGTATCATCCAAGGCCCAGATGCTAGCATGAGGATGAATCACAAAACCTGGCCTTGCCGAGTGACTGGCAAACTCTGAAACCACCACAAAGTGCAGCCATTATGTGAATACATCCAACTGCATGGTGCATGGCAGCAATAATTTTGACAGGAGAAAAAGAGAGAGAGAGAGAGAAAGAGAGAGAGAGAGAGAGAGAGAGAGAGAGAGAGAGAGAGAGAGAGAGAGAGAGAGAGAGATGTATTTGGGGAAAGAGAAAATAAGGAAGGTTAGTATTAACTGGCCACAACATTTATATATAGAGAGAGAATACTCTTTCATGGGACTTTAATGCCAGTGGCCAGAGAAAAATGACATACAGTGTGCAATTGGTCAGGAGATTAACATTATGATAAATAGATAAAGGTGTTCTGGATAGAGCGTGGTGGTGGGCACAGAGTATTATCTTAGAGGTTGGTCAGGGAAGCCTCTCCAAGAGGGTGGCATTTTATGAGCAGAGAGCTGCATGAAAGGAAGGGGCCAAGCAAGATTGGTACCAAGTTTCTTAGAGACCCAGGAACAGCAGGTGCAAGAATGCACTTGGTTTGTTTAATGAAGGGCATGGAAGTTTGAGGACAGCAGTGGAGGCAGTAAAGAAGCAAGTAGGAAGAGATGAGTCAGAGGATCCTCAGAGGGAAACAGTATTTCAGGGCCTGGGAGGCCATGGTAAGGATTTTCATTTTGAGCTTCCCACTAATGTTTTGTTTTGATGTGTTATGCACAAATCAATTGGGAAAAATAAGAAGGGCAAAGGCAGGCAAAGGACAAGGTTATTGTGAAGGGGCATATTAAGGAGTTCTACACTTATTTTATTCTTTTCTCTCTCTCTCTCCCTTTCTTTCTCCCTTTCTTTCTCCTTCCTTCCTTCCTTCCTTCCTTCCTTCCTTCCTTCCTTCCTTCCTTCCTTCCTTCCTTCCTTCCTTCCTTCCATCCTTCCATCCTTCCATCCTTCCATCCTTCCATCCTTCCATCCTTCCATCCTTCCTTCCTTTCTTTTTTATTCTTCCTTCTTTTTCACTGTTCAATGCCTGTTTACTATTTATTTTATTTTTAAATCTTTATTATTGAAAGGATTACATATGGCTCCCTTCCCCTTTTTCCCCCATTGACCCCTTCTAGCCTACACTCGCCCCTCACCCCAGGCCTTCACCGCACTATCATCTGTGTCCATGGTTTATGCATAGACACATACAAGTACTTTGGTTGTTCTCTTCCCACCCACCCACTACACTTCATTTAATATTCTTTGTTTCTGAGTTAGAGTCTCACCATCTAACCTTCACTGTAAAAATAAGTTCCAGATGAGTTTTCACAGAATCCAAAGGAGATTGCTTTTCCTGAGTAATGCACCTTTTGAATTTCTAGAAACTATGGACATAGACATGAACAAATTAATCAAATACACTTTTTAGAGAGCCAGCATTTCATTAAAGGGGTTGGTTGGCATCACCTTCTTTCTAGATTAAGATGTGTGGCCCAACTCTTTGATCCACCCTATTCTCTAATAACCGGCATTGTAATTGGTCACCAGTGGTAACCAGGTGCTAAGGAAAATTAGGTACATTTCGAGATCTTCAGTGATTAGGCCCATGAAAGAAACAGGAATGTATGCTCTGGATTCTAGGGATGGAAAGAGATCAATAATGTGGAAGAGTCCAGAACTAGCACTGACTACTTACATTAGCCAAATGTATTTAGGGCTTTTTGTTGTGCTGTTACAGTGCACGCATTACATGTTACACGCACTCTAAAGGAACTTATTCTTTTATTGACCATGTTGAAATGGCTTGGTTGGCTTAATCTCAGATATTTCAAACTACAAGAGTACTTTTACTGTGACTACACATTAATCATGAGAATAGACAGCTGTAAACTATTCTTAAGTTAATTAGGGTATAATTGACAAGCAACAAGAATATACATTTTGGAATAATTGCACAATTTAATTTTTCATTAAAATCTTCTTGGAAATAAATATTTCCTGATATGATGGTAACATTTATGTCACAGTAATCTTGCTACCTTTAAATAATACAGCATTTTCATGGGTGGCAAAATAAAGAAGAAAAAAGACGGGATTAAAAAAGAGCAACTCATGGTTTCAAATTCTGCCTTTGTGAGATTTTAGCTATATGCCTAGTAAAGGGATGTTAAAAATAACAAGAGTTTTGGTTATTATTAAATTATTCCCAATTATCTTTGGAAATGTGGTGTCTGACCTTGGCTATGTATCTAAATTACTTAGATCTCTTGAATCACTGATTTCCTAATGCTACTTTAGGGTCAGAATGAATCAGAATCACTTGTATTTTTTAAAATATAGATTGCTTGGCTCCACAAAGGAGTTCCTGAATGGAACTTGGGATCTGTCATTTTGCAAGTGACTCAGCTGACTTCAGGCGTAGTAAGAGCAAAAAATATTCCTTTAGTTACTCTCCTGATCTTTAAGATGGACTTGTAATCAAATTTTGATTATTTTAGTCTATTTTTATCTCAAATATTTACTTAGGGATATCATCACGTATGTTTCTTAAATCTTAAGATAATGTATATTCTTTGGTCATTAGTTTAAATAACGAGTGCTACAAACTTGGAAGAAACTGAAAACGTAATTTCAGTAACAAATAATTTTGAACACATGAAATACTCAAGATGCTAGGATTTTTGGAGAATAAAACAATTAAAATTTATTCAAAAATATTTCAAATATAAATTGCCTAGTCAGTAGGCAGGAATCTGGAGATAAAAAAATGAGGAAGCTACTAAGAAGCTTACACCCTTACAGAGGCAGAGAGGCATGCCTGTAACAAAAGAGTATTCATAAGAGGGATTGTTTCCTTCCACCAAGAGAATCTGATAAGGAGGGAGAATAGGCATGTCCACCCACCTTGTGAGGAGAATATACACAAAGAGAGATTATTCAATTCTACCTACAAGATTGAAAGAAAACTTAATTGAGAAAATTAAATAGAATTTTCCAGGATGAAGAGGTATTCTTCAAGGAGTCAGAAGAAAACACACACACAAAACAGCAGATAGAGGAAACACTGTGAACTAAAAGACAGGGTTGTAAAAGCAGAATGCCAGGGAGCAAGCAGCATAGGTTTGTAGCTGTAGTGCAGCCCATGAAAGGGAGGGAGAGGCACTCCTTTGGACAAGAAGATAAAGGAAGGATGGATTAAATAAGGGAGGGACTTATGTGCCATGAAAATGAATTTAGAATTTCTATCAGAGGCAATGGCAATCTGTGGAATAGTTTCAAGTACAAAATAAAGTGATCAAATGCAGTTTAGAAAGAGCCTTCCAACAGTAAATTGTTAGGGAGAAAGAAAGAGTTGAAAATAGAGACAGGAAGACTAATCAGTTACAAGGCTGCTACACCAATCTAAGCTAGAAACGTCCCAAGTAGTTGTGAGGATGGTGAGCAGGGAATAGATAAGAGAGATGCTACAGAAGCAAAATTTACAACAGTCACTGATATGATAAAGGAGACAGAAAAAATGCTTGAAGAATGACACAAGATTTCTGCCTGTGTCCGTTAAACATCGAAAGTTCCTTATTTAAAAATAATTGTTTGGTTGATTTAAACTATTTTTCCAAGCCTACATGCCATAATTTCATGAATTTTAGCTGAAAAGCACATTAGACCAATAAAATATTTTTACTGAGGCCAAGTCCCTCATTTGAGGAATATGGAAGCCCAGGGATCATAAAGTAGAGCTATTAAAAAACAAAAAGCTGTATATTTAGATTTGATTCAAAAATAACAAGTAGCATTTGCTTTTCTTGGTGAATCTATAATCTTGGTATAATTTTTTAAAGAGTCTGGAATTTTGATATTATTTTAATTTATATATATTTTAGCCCTGAAATTAATCCTGCATACTCAGGTGAGTCAGAAGGGCTGTTTATTATATAATAGTAATCTATGAAGTATCTTAACATCCTGAGTAGGGAGGGAATGCATGAATTCAGAAGAGCATTATTGTTTTACACTGATGGAATCTGAGGAATATAACATTCTTTTCACATTTGTTGAGTTGGCATTGAGTTCACTTCTTTTATGCTAAAATGCTAAATCCATTTTTAAATCTTCTGAGTTAGAAGATTTAAAATTTAAACTTTGTGCTAAAATGCCTAACAAACATTTAGTGAAAGAAAGAAAGAAAGAAAGAAAGAAAGAAAGAAAGAAAGAAAGAAAGAAAGAAAGAAAGAAAGACACATGACAACAGTACAGTGATTGCCAGAGTAAGGGGGTGGGAGGAGGTGGATAAAGGTAAAGGGGTGTGAATAAATGGTGATGGAAGGAGACTTTGACTTGGGTTGATAAATATATAATACAATATAAAGGTGGTATATTGTAGAAGTGTATACTTGAAATCTATATACTTTTTATTAACCAATGTCATCCCCCATAAATTAAAAAAAAAAAAAAAAAGCAAAGTCAGTCCTGTCTTCTCCCAGCAACTATGGATGATTGTTACAGCACTATGGAGTTACTCCTATCTTTAATTAGATAGAACTAGTGGAATTTTGAGGATCTGAAAATATTGTTTTTATGACAAAAATAGTACTATCTTCACCTCCCTATTAAGGTCTTATTTCCATAAGTAGAGAAACACTCCATTCAGTTCAGTCTTTGTTATTTGAGAAATGCATTAGTTTAGAAAAAAGAATATATTAAGCCTTATCATACATAGAAACATAGTTAGAACAAGCTGCATGTGAACCTTCTGAAAGAGATGACTATATGTATGAGGATAAATTGAGATTCTAGCAAAGGGGGTAACTGAGGGATTGAGGTGGAGCGGGGTCAGAGTTTACGGGATTGGTAATTAAGAAGCAACTGGAATAATAAAAAATAAGAGTCTGAAATACAATGGAAACCTCAGCCAAATTTCAATTTTTGATACAAGTTTCTATTTTTTTCAAATTCAGATCTGATCATGACAAGTTTTTCAGTTTAACTGAAAAGGAGTTGGATGGCTTGAACCCTGGATCTGCAGGTTCTGTTCCAAAAGCTGTCATGCTTGCTTTCCCAAGCGAAAGTTAATTAACCACATTTGGCTTCTTTGTCGTGTCTGTGAAATATTTTCCTTCTTCAAACATATTAGGCCAGTTCATTAATTCACTCAAGATGTTTTTGAAGATCAGTAGGTCTTTGAAACAAATTGTCAAACACAGGAACACAGGGTTCTCTTTTGAAGATGAGGAATAAATAGACATGAAACCATTAACATTAATTATCTTCAATGGGTACAATTAGTTTACCATAGGAAGGAAGGTAAGTGGCATTTTGGATCAAGTCAAGTGACTTTCCTTAATATTTTTAATATTTTTTTTCTACTGTTAAGAACAATATATCTCTAACCCAAAGTTAAGAAAAGATAAAAATTATAGACTTTAAAAAGGAACAAGTAGGAAGACTAAAAATTAGCATAATAGTTATGATTCCTATATGAACTAATTACTATTTCAAATCTCCTTATATTTAAACATTTATTTGATAGACATAATACGAAAACTTTTTTGTGCTCTTTTCACAAATCACTCTGAGTGCTTAAAGCTTCATGAATCAGTAATAGATAACATTTAAAGAAATAAGAGAATGTATATATAAATACAGAGGTGGTCTGAAGAATTTAAAAAGACCTAAGGAAAAATTATCATCAGCATTTCTATCTCGTGAACTTAAGGACATAAACTAACTTTATTATTTAACATGAGAAAAATGGGGAAATAAAGAAAACGTTGGTATTTTGAAAGAAAGAAAATAGGAATACAGACTTAAAAATAAGAATAAAATTTTAAAATAATTAAGGGCAACAAATAGAAAGTTAACATTTCTCAATTCATTTTTCTAATATATTCTATAAATATATGTTTCATAGACACTTCTTGCAACTTCAAGACAAACAGCATGTGCTTCTGTGCCTCTTTACATCTGTAGGTTGAATTTTTTCAAATGATGATCCACTTTCTGCAAGTATCCTCTCTTCTTCCCTTTGAGTCTCTGATCCATTATCACAACTCCTGCTGTCCCTTCCTTCCCCCAATTTCAGATGCAACTGATGGCTTCCTTCTTAACTTACTTAGGGCCTTTTGTGCTTCCACTGTAAGGCAATCTTCATTGTGCCTTGGTTCCTATTTTTCCACTAGTCAATAAGATAATGGGTAGCAGCACTATGACCAGTCATTTTTAAAAAAATATATTTTATTGATTTTTTACAGAGAGGAAGGGAGAGGGATAGAGAGCTAGAAGCATTGATGAGAGAGAAACATTGACCAACTGCCTCTTGCACACCCCCTACTGGGGATGTGCCCGCAACCAATGTACATGCCCTTGACCAGAATTGAACCTGGGACCCTTCAGTCCACAGACCGACACTCTATCCACTGAGCCAAACCAGTTTTGGCTGACCAGTCATTTTTATGTCAACCAACTTATTAAGGATAATAAATGGATTCAGGCTAAGATCAGGCTGGCTGACAGCTAGTGTTGCCTAGAAATAAACACATCAGCCACTTAGCTTCCTTTTCCTCAGATAATGGTGCTCTAACCACAATCAGATCTGCCTACTGGAAAAACCTCAAAATATACTGATGTTGTTAGAAATGAGATGTTTCACCATCTACCATAAGATTATTATCCTATATAATAAAGCAGTAATATGCAAATTGACCATCATACCCTTGCATAATGGCTGCCCCCATGTGGTTACAAGATGGCTACCACAAGATGGCTGATAGGGGAGGGCAGTTGTGGGTGATCAGGCCAGCAGGGGAGGGCAGTTAGGGATGACCAGGCCTGCAGGGGAGAGCAGCTAGAGGTGACCAGGCAGGCAGGGGAGAGTAGTTGGGGGCAATCAGGCTGGCAGGAGAGCAGTTAGGCTCGATCAGGCTGACAGGGGAGTGGTTAGGGGGTGGTCAGGCTGGCAGGCAGAAGCGTTTAGAGGCAATCAGGCAGGCAAGCAGTTGGGAGCCAGCAGTCCTGGATTGTGAGAGGGATGTCCGAATGCTGGTTTAGGCCTGTCGGGTTTAAACGGGCAGTCGGACATCGACTCAGGGGTCCCAGACTGGAGAGGGTGCAGGCTGGGCTGAGGGGCACCCCACAACCAGTGCATAAATTTTGTGTGCTGCACCTCTAGTCATAAGTATAAGAATCTAAAATGTCTATGTGATGAATGGTCCTCCTTCAATAAGGCAACTTTGAACAATGCATATAAGCCTTCTTGTCCTAGTACTGTATTATTTTTCAGTGTTTACTGTTCACTTTAATTATGAGCCAAGGGCATAAACTAAAATACTGTATGATTTGTTTTAAGAAACTGTAAACAACATTCTCATTTACAAATGATGTTCCTTTATCTTTCCAATAAATTCTCCTCTGAGTTTGAATCTGTTAGAATGGTTTTCTAATTTAAAAAATCCCTTACTTGAGTGAAAGCAACACACTAGACATCTAGCAATGATCACCAATCAAACTATAAACTCAAGGGAAAGGAATTTTGATATTACAACTTTTATTTATTTTAATTTAAAGGAATATATCATCTGAACCATATGGATAAAATATTTTCTACTAAACTGAATTGTCTTTGTCAGAGATGTGGCTTGCTCTTATTTTGGCTTCCTGTAAATACAACCTAAGTATAAAGGAAACATAGACTTCTATCCTTTTGCATATATTGAAAAACTGTAAACACTTACAAGATTCAGGACCATGATGATTACAAAATTGATACAGACAGCAGCAGCAGATGTTGCAAATTGCCAGTGTTGTTTGATGAAATTCCATTTGAATGATGCAAACTGTTCCATGACAACCAGGCGATACACCACAACTGCAAACACTGCAGTGATCACCAAAGAAATCTACAACATGGAAGACCAGAAGGGACAACCAAATTTTGCCTTATTAACAAAATAAAAACAAAAGCAAAATCATAGATCCAATACACTGTCCCCAGACTAAAGAAATTTATTTTTCTAAAAATGTATATATAAATTTAATTTTTCGTTTAAGGAACTAAGTTACTTGAGCATCAAAATAAGTAGCATAAGATTTAAGTTGTTTTAGTGTAATACAATTACCACACTAAAATAAAAACTTTGTTTAAATTTTCACTATTACATGGGATATTTCATTTTTAAAAATGATGACTAATTTATCAGGGCAACTCATATAATTTCCATTTTACCTTAGATGATCTCTGTTTTTCCCATAGAGTGTTTTACTTAACATGTTAAGTGCCCAGTCAGTTTTAGTTAACAGTTAAGTGCCCACCACTGACCAACACTATACTTTCTGTCTGGAAGACAAAACAGGCTGGGCAGTTAACCTGTTAAGGATATGTACAAACTCCCTCTGTTATCTCCTGTAATTTTTATTTTGTTTAATAGTGTGTATTGCCAAAATATTGAACAGGATGTGTTTCTCGCAGCATCTGGGCTAAAAAATGGGTAGGCATCCTAGAACTTCATTCTAACCCTGGAATCCCACAACATTCTGATATTAATGGTTATACTTTACCATGAAGAATATTCCTGATATAGAAACAAGAAGACGACTGACTTTGTCTGAAGAAGGCTGATGTGGCTCAGGTTTTCCACTAATGGGATTCACTCTCTCCATCTTGTAATACTTTGCTTCAAACTGGGGACGAAGTGTTTCCTATGAAAGAAACTTACAGTTACCTAAATATCAGAGTAAAAAATGTTGAAAACTCTGAGTTGAAAATTGCTGCATTTGGCCTACTTTTATAACAAGTGTTGGCAAAGAAGCATATTTTGAAAAATAAGATGCAAATTACTTTCCAAATAACCCTAAATTATATTTTAATTAGCCCAATTTTTCCAGTAATATACTGTAAGAAAATATAAAAGAAATGCTTTGAAAAAATTACATGATCTCATCATTGATCTTTTTTTTCCTTCATAAAATAAGAAATTTTGTTAGTTATAAAGCATCAAGGGAAAGTCTAATTGTGTTTAGCTGCTTCCATGTTAGATGTTAAGAGCAGTGAACACTTGTCTGCAATATTTGTATCCCAGTTTCCTTATCTTCGGTTTCCTAACATCTTACCTCTTCTTCTTCCCATTCAATAAGGTCCCAAGTATAGGTCAGTGTACTTCTTCTTCTTTTCCAAAACTCTAGGAAGACTGTGGCTATAAATAATAACATTATTATAATTATTTACCCAACTGCATTATGTTCTTTCATTGGTGCTCTTCTTTGGATTGATGCATTTCACCGAGTTATTGAATTATTAAATTTCATTAAACTCACAGTAAATTCATTCAAATGTAATTTTGTTTTCTCTTGCCCTATTTTCCCTGTCTCTGTATACTGCATTCCTAGAGAGGAAGTTTTTTTTTTTTTTAATTGTATTAAATAAGCAGAAACTTTTGTTAGCATGACCTATCAAAGTGATGCTATGTAAGGTCAATATTAATGAACAAATATTTATTGTGCTTTTTGACTTGTACATGCTTATTCAAAATTATCTAAAAGGACTAAATAAGCCTTCTCCAGGAATGACAATAAAGACCAGACACTTCTCCAAGATTCTGAAAGGAGAGGCATAAGATGGGGGAGAGAGAGGAAAAGAACAAGATTATCATGTCTCAGGCAATAGGGTGCTATGCATTAATCTGAGCTTGCAGTTTGGCCAAAGGTAGGTAGAATTGATATTGACAGCAGGTATGCCTTTGGTATTACCCATCACATTATTTCGCTCTGGAAACAAAGACATTCTTGACTTCTTCCAGAAAAACAACAACAACAGTTCTTATGTTTCAGAACTCTTTTTTTATTTTATTTTATTGATTTTTTACAGAGAGGAGGAACGAGGGATAGAGAGTTAGAAACGTCGATGAGAGAGAAACATCAACCAGCTGCCTCTTGCACACCCCCTACTGGGGATGTGCCCGCAACCAATGTACATGCCCTTGACCGGAATCGAATCCGGGACCTTTCAGTCCGCAGACCGACGCTCTACCACTGAGCCAAACTGGCTTTGGCTGTTTCAGAACTCTTAAAGGTTATCCAATTAACTACAAACACTGGAATTCCATTTGCTCCTCATTCTGGGATCAAAACAGATAGCACCTAATATAGATGATTCTCCCAAGATCCAGACCATATATTATGCCATCCAGCAATTCTTACACGTGGTCTTCCTTTTGCTCACTTTTTCCCCCATTTACTAATACTGCTATCATAATCTAAATTTTGCCTGAATGAAACTCCTAAGAAAGCATTACTCATTTTCATAGTTCTTCAGTCTAATTTCAAGATGAACATACTCAGGATCTTAGGTCTGCCTACTGCAATGACTATTCTAGTTGTCCTTCAACAATCTTTTGATCCCACTGTCCAACAAGTATTCAACAGTGCCAATTTAACTCACAGTTGGATACGCACCCAAGCTAACCATACTTATGATAAACCAGATCAATGGCTTGGCCCTTATGCCTTTAAAGCTTACACAATCTAACTGGAAATAACACTGAATTTCAAGTCCTTCTTTATTCTCAATCCTCTGTGGTAGGTAAGTGTGTGTTATTTACAGTAAATACAGTGAGAAAAGTTAGAGCCTACCCTCAAGAATGAAGTTCTTGGTCTATCTAAATATACTCAAATTCTAATAACAAATAAAATAAAACATTACACTGCCCTAAGTCATCAGCAAGATTTGTCCCACTTGCTCACATTTTGCTCCTGGATTAAATAGTAGGTTCTAATAAATAAGTTAGAGATTCTAGTTATAATATGGAGGGTTAAAAGTTTTAAGCTTCAATTCAGTCATTTTATTCTCCCAGAAGAGTATCATGAATGTAACCCCATTATTGATAGAAGAGAATGAGAAAAGGTGTTGAACTGGTAGTTCATTAAGGATTGACTGATGGGTTTGGAAATTTCAAGGAGAAAAGAAAATCTGTCAAAGACTCATTAGTGAGCAACTTAAAAATATGTCAATAAACCATGAAAGTGGCAAGAAAACATATTCATTTTATTATAATTGCTGGTGACAAGTTTTGTATGCACAGTTAACTCTGGGATTCTGGCTGGCTGGACAAAGTGGTCTCTGAAGCAAGTGGCAGGTTGAAACAATACAGGAGCATTAAGACAGATATTTCAACAGGATTTAGCAGGGGAGAGATTGTGGGGAGGGTGGAAGAGCTGGAGAAGTGAAGCAAGATTTGATTTATATAGTTTTAACATCACAGAGCTTTAAAAATAACCAAATGCCCATACTACATCTTGAAGAGCAATTAAATCAGAATTTCAGGACAAAACCCAGCATCAGTTTATTTTTAAAGCTCCCAAAGATTCCTGATGTTTAGCCAATGTTGATAACTACCTTCTAGAGGAAAAGCAGTCATGCTCATGAAAGAGGTGAAATGGAAACAATCATAGTTACTGAGGCAGTAGACATTAACACTAACCTTGTTTAATGTCAAGCTGTAAGAAATAATAGCTGTTGTTCTGTTTTGAATTCGAACTATTTATAAAGTATTTTAACACTCATTTTAGATATATTATTTCTAATATCTACCACAGTCATTCTCAAAAACCAACAAAAATATAAATAGCAACATGTAACAAGTAAATATGAAATGAGCCATAAAATGGCTATTATTATCCTTGTTTTTTAAGATAAAAATTTGGGGTTTTGAGAGGTTAGGAGACTTGCTAATGTCACACAGCTGATTGGAACCTAAATCATTTGAACTGAAGTATTCATGCCCTTTGTATCATACCACAGTGCCTTCCAGGATGTTCATGGGTAGAGGTGAGATTGGAGATGCTAATAGGTGGAATGAGGATTTGAGAGCAAGCTGTGAAAGTCTTTCAAAAATAAGTATCCTGGAGATTGGCAGATGTAAAATGTAGAGAGAGTAGTAGAAATGGAAGAACCTGGGGTTCAAAAGATAGAACCATAATATAGTAGTAGGGCAAATAACAATGCTCAGAATGAGCATGATTATAGAGACTGTGGGATGGTGAAGAGGAAAGGAAACACATTAAACTTACTTAATATTATTTAAAAATAAAGTATATAAAGTGAAATTTATTTCACTTACAAAGAATGAAGTGTCAATACAGATATAGATGTAGATATACAGATATAAAGCAATAGAAATACATATATAAAATGTAGATATATATGTATATATATGTATATATATATAATGTATAATAATAAAAGTGTAATATGTAAATTGACCAAATGGCCATCCGGACAAAGCTGGGGCTGTAGCTATGGGATTGAGGCAGCCCCCACAGCTGCAAGGGAGGGATTGAGGCAGCCACCAAAGCTGCGAAGACCTACTCTTGCATAAATTTCATGTATTGGGCTTCTAGTATATGAAACTTAATATGGGCTTCTATTATAGATAACATATGATATGCTATCTATCTATCTATCTATCTATATATATATAAAGCCAGTGACCGTAATGACATAACAGTCACTATGATGCCCACTGTGGCCAGCGAACTGGCCTGATCATATGTCTCCTTTTTTCCCCATTGACTCAAGAGCTCTCTATGTGGTTAGCTGAAGTGGATCCCTGGCCAGCATTGCAGCTTTAGTTATTCCTCTGCTCAAACCTGCTCTTTTCCCATTCTTCCCAGCTACTGTTCTCAAAAGTAACTTTTAATAAGTACTGCCCACTTTGAGACTCTCAGACCCTGATCAAGGGTAGAGCCAGTTGGCCAAATGCCCTGCCCTCTTCCCCCCACCAGTCCTGCCCCCTACCACACCATGATAGGCCTTCATTCCCTCCCCCTAGCTGGCCCCATCCCTGATTGGCCCCTATCCCAATAAGAGGCGGGGCCAGCTAACCAACCTCCCACAGCCCCTCATCCTAGCTGGCCCAGCCCCCTATGGGCCCCCACCACCGTGATTGGCCTGAAGACCCTCCTCCCTGGTCACCCCCCATCCCAATAGGGAGGGGGGCTGGCTGGCCAACCACCCATGGCCCCTCCCCATGGCCAGCCCCACCCCTAATCGCCCCCCCAACCCCAATTAGGGCCTAACAGCCAATCACCAGCCATCTCTTCCCCCTGACAGGTTCAGCCCAGATCTGCCCTGATTAGGGACAGGCTGACTGAATCCCACCCATGCACAAATTCATGCACTGGGCCTCTAGTAATATAATCTATACTAATAAAAGGGTAATATGCTAATTCGATCAAGAGACCTTCCAGAAGACCTTCTGACAAAGCCATTGTGGCAGGTCCAGGGCAGAGACAGTTAGGGACGACAAGGCCAAGAGGAGAGGGCAATTGGGAGTTGGGGCGAGCAGGCCAGGATGAGGGCAGTTGGGGTGAGCAGGCTGGCAAAGGGGCAGTTGGGGGTAGCAAGCCAGCAGGCAGAATCATTAGGGGTGATCAGGCAGGTAGGCAGGTGAGAGGTTAGGAGCCAGTGGTGTCGGGTTTTGAGAGGGATGTCCTACTGCCACAGGGCTATACTGGCAATTGGACATCCTCAGAGGGATTCCAGATTGGAGAGGGTGCAGGCCAGGCTGAGGGACAGACCCTCCCTTATGCATAAATTTCATGCACCGGGCCACTAGTATAATATAATTAATATATCATATATCATATCATATCATATCTACACTAATAAAAGAGAAACATGCAAATTAAGCATCACTCTGCTATGCTCATCAGCTAATCAGGAGGGAATATGCAAATTAGAAGGAGAAAGATTGCAGCTGTCCAGCTGCTCCAGGCATGGAGTGGCTGGGCAGGGCAGGATGCCTGCTATGAGAGGGAGAGCAGGGGAGGGAGTGAAGGAATCTACAGGAGTGGCACTCTGGCCACAGCGAAGACAAAGAGTGCAGACTCCAGCTGGAGTCTGTAGCAAAGGCGGCAGACTGACTGGGGTGAAGGCCTGGGTCCCAGATGCCAAAGGAAAGCCGGTGCTGGAAGCCAAGGGAAGCAAGGCCTATTATAAGAATCTCTTCGTGCAATGGGCCTCTAGTAATATAATACATAGATAGATTAGATACATCATAGTTATACACAATAGGAAAAAGAATATACCTAAGTGTTAATACTATGATAATTACCTGTGGATTATGGAACACTTTGTACAAAATATACATTGTCCTTGGAGTATCCACTGCCTGTGTTTTTCTTACCATTCTATGTG